TATTAACTTTTACCCTGTGAATGTTTTGATAAAAAAGAACTTTTTAAAAAAACTTTAAAAATCTTCTGAACATTTTGAATTATTCAACAGGGAAATATTTCAGGAATAACCTCTTCATTTTTTCAGTCTTTCAAGTAAAGCCCGTTCAATTAAGTGTGCATACTCGAAAGTTCTAAGCTGAAACACTTTCATACAATAATCAATATCCTTATTTGCCCCTCCTCTTGTTGCTACGTCAGTCACAAAGCAGACACCATTCTTTATTCATGCTATACTCATTACAACGTAAATTCCAGTTTTTCTTATAATAATATTATTACGATTTTGAGCTTTATACGGAATGCAAACAATTTTATATTCGACAAAGAATAAAATTATTTGAAAAGTATTACACAATAATAACTAAGCATTCATTAAGTATTTATATTCTTGATTTGTATATTCGTTTGCTAATTTTAATTTTGCTGATTCATAAATGAATTTTATACTCAAACTAAATTAATATGATTTGAAAGTATTTGTGCTCTTGATTTTTGGTCTTACTTTGCGATTTTTATTTGACTAAATTGCAAAAATCTAAACCAAAATCTTTGACTATTCTTATACGGTACTGATATGTATATCTTTTTGAATTTGCTTGTGATTGTGCAGCAGCGAATTAAAGTTGTGTATAATATATCTTATCATACTCTTGTCAAGATTATAAATAACTTGACAACAACTTAGTCAAATATGATGATTTTAGAACTGTTTCTATTTAAAAGTACATTCTTTATGTTGTAAACTAATCTTGTTAATAAGTTTTATTTTTATTAGTAAACGTGAAATAAGTAATTTACGTAGATACCCACCTCTATCGCTATGTAACGGTAATTTCTTATATTACTGTATATTGATATCGATATATATTTATATATATAATTAAAAAGCCAGTTTGCATACTATACATATAAAATTTTTGTTGTAGCAAGCAAGTTATATATTATGTGTAACTTTCAACAATTGCCTACTTACAGTATATATATATTATAAATTAAATTGTTGATTTACAGGTATGACAGCCATATATGACCTGTGTACGTCAATTGTAAATTTACAAGATATAAACTAACTATAAATATTGTGAATTGGAATAATACTAGGTTTATAAAAATCATATTTCCAAAGTTCAACATTGCATTCTTCAGTTTGATCTTTTAAGTAAAACCTTGTTTGCTAATCAGGGGCTAGCAAATATCACTTAACAAAAGCAAGTTTATGCGTTACTGCTATATTTGACAACATGATTGTATGTTCAAAAACGAACTGAACATTTCCAGGAAAAATATCAATACTTTTATCATCATATATAAATTTTGCTAATATATATGTGCTTTTTTCATATTTGGAGCCATTGTTATTCCAAAAAATTTGCTACCAATCCGAATTCGTGTGTATTGATCTATGATTGGAGAGACAATAGTGATATCTTCTAACTTCTCTTTAACAAAAACTGCTTCAGCGATTGTTGCAAAATTCCCATTGTATGCCATTTTGTAATACTCTGTTAGTAGCTCATAGATATCATCAGGTAGAGATATATGAGTTTTATCTGGGTTAAGCATTTCTCAATGAAAAGGTTCACTACCTGTAATAGTGTTACCAATATTTTGATAGAAAGTTCGTACAAATTGATATAAATTAGCAAAATCGAACCCATCATTTGCTGCTAAGCTTCCAATTGTTGGTCAAGGTTTTATAAATTCAAGTGCCTTGAACAGCCTAAAATTATTTAATTGATCAAAAATCAGATTATCTAATCTCCAATTTTGCAGAATGATCTGTAAAAGATCCAATTCAATCATTCTCTTGCTGTTGGGAAAAGATCCTTAAGAAAAAAAATATATATATATTTATCATTTTAAAAAAAATTAATAAAGTGTGCATAAAAGTTAATAATACAACAGAATACGTATTACACGTTACTCTGAATTAGGGTTCTGCAAGTGCCAACATGTATACTATTAAAACATAGTGCCTATATTCGTACATACATATGTACATACTTGCATTATGTTTTAATAGGCACACACTGACACTTGCAGGGTCTGCTCTAAATCTAAACTCAAAAATATTGATACAATGAATTATACCGACGTTTTATATTAATGTTTTTTTAAAAAAA